TTTGGTGAATTCAGGGGGAAGACGGAAATTGGTTTCTGGTTTTCTTTTGTTTAATTGCTGTTGTCCTTGGTGAGTTCCTTCCCTTTGAGGGTTGGAACTCTTATCTGATTTTTGCGCGGTTTTTTATATGATTTGCGTGGCATTTCCCCAACACAGGCTGTTTCCGATACAGTTTACCTACTGTAGCTCGATTAGGGAAAATTTCAGATTATATCGGTCTAGTGGAGAAGGTTGGAAACTCCGCAAAATTGCCGGTCGATGACAGAAAAGCCGTCGGTTTTAGTAATAACGCTCTCATGCTTCCGGGAAAGTTATGATTATCTGTTTGTAAAATAATTGAATGTCATGTCAAATTATATGGGTACCGTAGTATCCGATTTCCAAGTGAAATCAGACCGACAATTTTGAGCTCGATTTTTTTTTTCGGATCAATTTGTTTCATCGATTACTCTCAAGAATTGTCCGATGCATTGAAAAAGTGTGAGTCATTTTCTATGGTCACTTAGTAGTTCCCGCATCGCAAATGAAATTAAAATTAGACATGATCATCTCCTTAGTGTCGCCGATTGATGAATTATGAAAAGTCCATGGATGAGAGAGGAGCCGACTTTTCCTTCTGTTTTTTTTTCACTCTTTTTCAGTTTGAAAAATTCGAACGAAAGTTATTCTTTGACTTGATGTGATCATGTAAAGATTTTGATCAACGCACACTAGATTTCCATGAAACGCTCAAATCCACACGTGAACCAACGTTCATGCAGTTCAAAACGCCAACAAAAATTGTATTGATCATCATTCCGCGAAGGAAGACGTAAAAGAAAACACATTTCGTCTGTCCATACTGAAACTGCCGCACAGTATTTCTCATTCACGCGGATTTAAATTGTCCTTCCGAACCAACTAAGTCGAATCATTCTAAACTTAACCCACTCAACTCGCGCTTGGAAGCGTACTAAATGAGCTACTGCAAGTACCCACAGGTTGGAGGCTAAAGAGATTTTTTTTTTTTTTTTTTTTTAGGAATAAAGAAACCTTAATCCCAGATGAGAGAAAGAGTGAGAGAGATCATCGCCACCGTGCCACCATCAACGCAGCAGCAGCAGCAGCAGCAGCGGCGGTGGTTCATTATGCGAACCAAAACTCGGTACAATTAACCCAGAAGGCACGAAGAAGGGGGAAGTGGGATGGATGGGTACGATTACACGCGCCTTGCGAAATGCTACGCGCCAGGAAAATGAGGAATAAAAAGAGGCGGGCGATTAAAATCGGGCCGACCCGAAGTAGGAGGAGGAGGAGGACGGGGGGGGGGGGGGTTAAGGGAAGAGGGGAAATTTTTTACAGCCCGATCAATTAGAAGGCCCCGAGAAATGCTCGGGCCCAGAGGTGTTTTATTAGCTGGGGGGCAAGGCGTAATAAATTCTGACGCGGCGCGCACAGGAGCCCTGGCAACCCGGCCTCTGCTCATTCGACTCACGGGCCCCCGTAATTGGACACAAACGAGTCCGCCTTCACGCGTCGCTTCGCCGAATAAATCCCGACATCGCTTCGCCAACGGGCGAATTAAAAAGATAATAATAATAAGAGGAGGAAGGACAAAAAGCAAAATTACAAGACAAGTATTTCTTGATTTTTTTTTTCCACTCTTCTCCCAGATTGACTGTCCATTTTGTGCTGATCCTGTTGCTCGGAAACCTCGGTACAGTATTTATTTTTTTAACCGCGAAAATAGCTTCTGGACTTCTTAGACCGAGGAAAGTTTCGTCGTGATTTACGCGGGGTGTGATGTGTGAATGCTGTAGGCAAAATTCGGATTTTGAACCAAAATATGCTTATGGATCAGCATGAATTGCAGTTAGCCAGCACTTAATTTTGATATTCGTACAAATGAGGATTTGAACAGTTTTTGGTCAAGTTAGGACACTTTTGGAAAGTTGAGCCGCCAAATAACACAAACATATTTTTAAAATAATCTGAACTGATCACTCCTCAAGAGCATATCCAAACCTGGGAAGGAGTTCGATTTGTTTTTCCCTTTTAGAATAATATTCCTTCTGAAAAATGAAAAAATTCATCCCTGCCTGGTGTTCCTTCTGCATTCTTTTCATGAGATTAACATCATAGGATTTTGAAAGCAATGGAATTTTCACATTACATAATGTATCACATTGGTTTTTGATTATAGAATTTGCTCCAGTTAGTTGAAGGAGGTACAGTATTAGTTTTTTAACCCTCAGACGGCAGAGGGTTCTTTCCCATAGCGCAACAGAGTTGGATTATTTTTGTATCGTCCTCCTGCATTTTCAGATTTTCAAAGGTCAGGAAACCCCTTCCAGGTGGGCTGAGGCAAAGTTGGGATAAATCCAAAAAAAGTCAGTAGCCTAACTGAGCTTTTTTTATTTTCCTGCAAAAATTGTCTGCGCCCAGGGAAAAAAATAACATCATGATTTTTCCCAACATTGCCCTTAACCACCTGTTGACATTTTTTTGTTCACCTCTCTGAGTTGCAACAAAATTTAAAAAAAATAGTCCAACTTTGCTGCCCAAGGGTTAAAGATATACAAGGTTGATTGAATGATGTCCATTTGACTCAAATTTCAAATGCTCTCATTTCAACCTCTTGACCAGATTATCATTCCCCTATGAATATTTCATAATATTGCCCATAATGAATGTATCATATTTTATTCTTTCTTCGCCACTGTACTTTTTTCTCTCTGCATACTACCGTGCGAAAGCGCAATTTTTACTGTGAAACAAAGTCATCCAAAGCTATCCCCTAAATTTAAATTGAAGCAGCAGCAACGAAAACAGGAAGCATCGTAAATTAAAACGGAGTTTTTGCCCATTGATGGACGCATTTCATCTCAACAGCATCCAGAGTGCGAGGTAAGATTACACTGCAATCTCCTATCAGCAATTCACTTCTTGGGATGCTGATCTCCATTCTCAAGTCCTCCCCGTCGGCATAGAAGCAGTCATTGCATGAAAAAGGATCCCCAAGCTTTAGGTAGAGCATCTTGAAAGACGAATAATAAGTTTCCGGAACGCGTCTTTTACGATCAGGCCTGAGGCACAGCAAGTAATTGGCACTGGATTGAGAGAGAGAGCGAAGCAATCGACCGAATGAGAGGAATTGATTGAACTCAGCCGGGAGGCATGAATTTCTTTTTTTTTTTTCGTTCTTGGGTCGATATATACACGCTTCGAATATATGCCCTTTGATTATTTCGATATTATATACAATATTTCAATTTTGCTCCGTACTCAATAAAATAATCGAAACGATTTTCCGGCTTTATAGTGAGGAAGAATCTGTCGAAACATTGATATCCAGGTTCATTTAAAATATCGACCGTCACGACTTTGCGTCACAAAAAGACAAAATCAAGAGCTGCTGGGTTTCTTCATTTCCCTCCGTCTGAATCTTAGAATACATTATTTCCGTGCATTGAAGTTCATCTACAAAATGTGCCGATTTTCGAAATTTATTGTCAAGCCAGAAACCTTGCACAGTGCTGCTTGAAAATGCGATGGTAATCGCAACAGATAGTTCAGGATGAATGTACTAAGCTTTGTGCTCCGTAAAAGGCATAGTAAATGTGTTGCAGTGATGAACATTGTATTAGAGCCGCCAGGGAAAGCCTTACAAAAAGACGCCTTCAGAAAATGCCAGAGGATGAAAAGTCGGCATTGGTGAGAGAACATCGGGGCGAAGATAATATTTCGAAGAAAATGTTTTGCAGGGACGAAGATATTCATAATGGAAACCACTGAAAAAAATCAGGACATGATGCAAATGAGAGAACACGGGAGAATGTCCCTGGAAAAAATAACGGAAGATAAAAACCAAGCAATCAAAATCACTCAATTAAAATATACACGCACAGAAATCACGAGGAAGAAAATGCTGCATTTTTAAAAGGAATCATCAGCAGGACGGAAAAGCATTGAAGAATACGCGTTATTGCACCTACAAACGAAAATCGTCCTACTACAGTATTACATTAGAAATGATGCGTGGTGTGAAACTTTCAAAAGGCTCGTCTTTATCGGATTTTCGCAATTCTCGTATTACCGAGTAGAAATCCTACTATTTGCAGCTTTAACCGCGAAGAGCTAAATTCTTCCAAGACCCCCAGATCATCTAAATTCAAGTTTTCCAGTATACTGCTGGGTTCTTGCGTTGAAACTCCATGGTTTGAGGTGATGGATGATCAGGCTGACAATCCCGGAAATGTCGAGGTTGATGCAGAATCCGTGAATTTTCGGAAAAATAACCCGGGTATAATTTTTTGAATCTTTATACTGTATATAACGAATCGCACGTGTAAAAATCAAATATTTCTGAGAACAGTGCTAATCAATTCGGTCTCGTCTCAGTTCTGTGAGGATATTCTTGGAAATACGGAAGATTTTGACGCACTGTATGCGTGAATTTGTAGATTACACAATGGAGGATACGGAACCAGAAAACCTCAATTCTGAGCGAGAAGCGACATCTGAACAAAATAGATCTAATGCCGACTTCTCAGCACCCGCAATGCCCGGAAGACTGCGCAACTCGATCACCAGGATGTCGCTCGTTGATTTGGATGACGAGGAGCCTCCCTTGCTTGTTGGTAGTAATGTCACAATCGGCAATAATGAATGGGATTATTTGGTTCGCGGTGACGTGAATCCGACAATAGAGGGACTCAACTTTGAGATCAACAATCGTGCTCGGATGAGAGACACAATTGCTGGGTCTTCTGGCGATGGGTTGCAGGCTAACTGGCAGGCTAGGGTTTTCCAACAATACGTTGCTGACCGGCAACGACTACGGTTAGATCGACGTCGATCATTTCAAATTTTAACATAAGAGTGTGTTCAAATGTGGGTCTTGCGATGGTCGGTGCCATCAAGCACGAAATTGCGAAAAGATGCTACTGAACAAAAAAGTGAAGTACACGCAGCAGAGGCACGAAACTCATATACTGTACAGTAGTACAATTTCCTGAACTGCTGCTGATAGACATTCTGAAAAGAGATCGCAGTATTTTTATTACAGTATGTTGCCCCGATTTTGGTTGATTTTTTAAATGCAAAGAATAACTTGCAACAAGATCACATTTTATACGATAACTATAATCTTGGAACTCGTTAACTCAAACCTGTGTAACTCCTTTCATGTCAAATTTTTGTCAAGTCTCAGTCTCAATTCTCTTAGAAACAAAGCATTAAAAGCTCTCTCACTGGAAGTCTATCCCAGCCCTCAAACCTCCATAATTCTTATCTTCTGGAAGATTTTTGGCTATTATTTTCTGGAAACAGGAAAGTTAAAATCAATAAAAATGTACTTTGATGTGTTTTAAAGGGATTGAAAGACTAATTGGGGCAATTAAAATCTCGCCTCCCTGTTCTCACCATAATTTTATCTCATTTAAAGAATCAATTGAAGGCCTATAGAGAATATCATTCACAACTTTCTTTAATTCTTTCTCTCTTTTCCCCAACAATAAATATTTATTTCAAAACTCAAAATCTCCGTAACTCGATTTTTTGTTGGTTCCTTCCCTTGAAGTTCAACTTCAAGAGGTTTGACTATACTGTATATACATACAACAAATCATTTTGTAACAGGAGCCTTGGGCCCAAACAACAATAATTCTGTTCCCTTTTTATGACTTTATGTAAACATGCACCGGCTCACACATGACTCTAATGTACCGTACTGAGGTTTTCTCCAGATATATTCATGGTCTACTGAAATGATGATTCAATATACAGGTGGATTAATTTGCATTGCTCTGCGCGCTGCTCTTAATGGGATTTCTCGAAGCACACCTTAATAATCCCTGCTTCGCTTTAATAATCCCCTCATTATGACAGTGAACAATGAAAAGGCAGTATGCTCTGTAATAGGAATGGAAATGCATGGTTGAATTTCATGTATAGGCCCCGTCGCCGAACCACAACCCAGTGGCGCATCGACATGTTGCAGTGCGTGATGCGTGGAGCAGTCCTGGCACTCGCACTGTCATTCTGGGCCTGGCGAGGACCCGATTTTTGGTCATGCATGAAATCCGCGTCACGGCATGGAGGGGTTTCGGCGACGAATTTGTGCGTGCAACGCGCATTCCACGTGCCAGGATACAAGATGCCTTGGGTCTACGCGCCGATGATGTTTGGCCTGACGATGACTGGTTCCGTTTTGTGGATGAACGAACTCTGGGAAATCTGTCGCTTATTGTTTTACCGTGGGTTTCGCGCCTATTTGGTTGGAGAGTTATAATGCATAGGAAGGAACGAGTCTTGAAATGGCTTTTGGTTTCATTCGGATGATATATAGTTATTACTGATTTACAGAACAGTACTGCATGTGGGAATATTTTTGCATGTGTCGTCTGCTGCATCTTGATATATGATACGCACTCTCCTCATATTATTAATTGGCCTGTTCTGGGGGAGGATTTTGTTCAGTACTGTATCTGCGTTTTTGTGAGTTTCGCCAATCTGTGTTGCCGAATTATGACGTCAATGCAGCACAATTCATGCTTTAAAAAATTCAACCTTATAATAAAACCGAGAAAAACTTTGATCTACATATCCACTGTTTACGCATTGAGTCACGTAAAATCCCTATGGTTATTCTAGAACAGAGCTGCCCAACTTACGAACTGCCCATGGGCCAGATCTGGCCTTCAGCGGAGACTCTGCATTTGTCCCGGAATACCTTCCCCGTAATTTTCAAGGAGGCAACTGCTGATGGTATTGTTCAAAATATGCATTGGAAGATTAATTTACAAATTCAGAATGTTGCTCCACCCTCAAAAATCCTGTAAGCCTGATCCGTGATTCAATGCATAGCACCGAATTAATTTGAAAATTTTCATTCAGAACGGAAACATTTTGAACCTCAAGAATTGTTGTCTATTATTGTGGCTCGCGACTCTTCGCCTCTGCAATGTGGCCATAGCCACGAAGGATCTATTGATTAGGCCCTTGGCCACATCTCAGTTGTGCAGCATTGTTCTAAAATATTTGCAAAACTATAAAACCTGCATAGAGACAGATGAGACCCGGTTAAAGGGGCCAGAGCAGTTGTGCAGTTCTAATTTTTAAACCGATGTTGATACTGTAAAAATGCATGCAAACTTTTATCTTAAGACGATTTCAATCCTGGCATAATTCATTTTTGGGCGGGAATCCTATCCTGAACAGAATTTTAGATTGCACAGAAGTAAAATGTTTTCTGCATGATGAAAAGGTTCCTGTACTTCACCACAGGTTTCATATGCTTATGGTGATAGTTAAAATACTGTAATTGGCCAAGCCAACATGCATTTCAATAAGCTTAGCGTCCTCCCCTTATAGTTAACTTATATAGCCAGGAATCCTTGTGTCCGGTCAGCTGCTGGTCGGTCAATTCATGGTTGCGCACCCGCCGGTCATCAAGCGCCGGTTGGTCCAACCGCCAGCCAGGGCAGTTTTTGGCCTTGCCAATCCCCAGCCCACCAAACTGCGGTTTGGTTGCCTGATTGTTGGGGCACCCAAGCAATCGGGTGACAAGAATCATGCTGATTTTTTTTCAGAATTCAGTGAGCAGAATGGTATCCAACCACAGATTTTTTTTCAAAATTTCAGCAATGTTAGGTTAGGTTAGGTTAGGTCAGTTTATGTTATGTTAGTTTAGGTTAGGTTAGGATATGTTAGGTTAAGTCAGGTTGGGTTTGATGAGTTTTTCTTTTTGTGAAAATTTTTATAAGATGAAATTTTGTAAAAAAAATAATCTGTGATAGGATACCATTCTGCTCACAAAATTCTAGAAAGAATCAGCATGATTCTTGTCACCCAATTGTTTGGGTGCCCCAACAATCTGGTGACCGGACCGCGGTTTGGTGGACTGGGAATTGGCAAGGCCAAGAACTGCCCTGGCTGGCGATTGGACTGACCGGCGCTTGACGACCGGCAGGTGCGTGACCGTGATTTGACCAACTGGCGGATGACCCGGTACCAGGAATCCTACAGTCTAATAATCAACATAAGTACAATATTTGCAATCAACACGTGTCTTGATATAGAACCACATAATTGAAAATACAGTACAGTGGGCCCCCATCTTACGTCATCAATCCGTTCCAGGATGGATGTCGTAACATGGGGTCATCGTAAGTTGAAACCCTATTTCCCTTAAGGTTACATTATAAAAAATTTTATTTGTTCCAGAAAAAAAATATTTAACTAAAATTACCTTCATATTTCAACTTTTTGTCAGAAATTGCATTAATAGACACAAGACATGTTTGAAAGACTGTATAAAACAAAAGTGATAGGGGGTAGGGTAGTGAAATAGGGTAGGATGAGGAGAATGATTTTCACAATTTTGAGCACTTTTCATAACTTTTTCATCCTTCATTTTTTAAAGCTTGATTTTGAGTCTGCATTGGCTTACAATTTTTAAATGGAGTGTTTTTTAAAGACACATGAAGAAAGAAATTGTGCACAAAATTCACATCATGCATGCATTTTGAGTTTTGAAATTTTGGTGAGTTCATCCATTTTTTAAGGCTTGATTTTGAGTCTGCGTAGGTTTTAAAATTTATGAACGCATTTTGAGTGTTGACATTGTGTGAGGTCATCCTTCATATTTTAGAGCTTGCTTTTGAGTCTGCTTAAGCTCTACAATTTTTGAATGGAGTGTTTTTTTTTTAAATGCCAAAAGAAAGAAATTTTCACTCACAATCTGCACTACCAAATGCCTAGTATTGATGATGACTGAATGGGAGGAGTAGGAAAAAATGATGTCGCAGGAATAATTCCATTGCTACTGGCTTTTTCGGTCATTGGAAACGAGAGGAAGACTGGAGTTGGGAAAGTCAAAAGGCTTTTATAGTCGTATCATGAAACCCCGACGTAAGTCGGGGATTTTTAAAATTCAAAAAAATCGTCGTAAGATGAAACCGACGTAACATGGGCCCGTCGTAAGTCGGGGGCCCACTGTACTCCAAGTTTCTTCCTCAACTATAGCGCATAAGTTTGCGTGTTTATATCTCAAACGGTTGTTTCCAACGAGCATACACCCATCAAGTAAAGCCGAGCGTCCCGTCCGGTGGAACAGGCTTCTGATAGAAATGAACATACCAGGGTTGATCGTTCCGTGGAGTCTTGAAACGGAGCATTTTGTGAATAATACAAAAATATCAAGTTAACTCGCAGAAAAAAATGTTTTCGAAAATTAGTTTACACAATAAATGCAATGTAGGATATTTTGTGCAGGAATTCGATAAAAAAATTTCCTGGAGTAGGTTCATGCCTGAGCATGATAGACCAAAAAAGCAAGCTGCCGACGGATCATCTCATGGGCTGCACGCTTCAGTTAGTCGAGTCCGAGGTGAGCGAGCGGTTGGAAGCGGGTGGAAGCGTTCGCCAGTGGATGTGAAAATACTGAAGCTTCGCCCGACTTAGTCGAGCCAAAAGTGTTCGTGGAAGTCAGTTTGGTGGATTGAAGTCCAGTATGTTGTCCCTAAATACGTGAGGTGATGTTTAGTTCGTCAGATGCCTCTTAGTATGTGTGATCATGAGCCGAAGCCATGCAATACTTGAGAAAATCGTCGTTTTCATTCGAAACGCGATCTTGCTCCCTGCTGTGTAAAGTATCTTCTGGATATACGGCGTTAAATTTCAGTTTTGTTGTATAGCTGAAGTGCGTGTTCTCGCCGATCGCATCTGAAAGTACGTAAACGTTTTTGGATGTGCAAGGTTTACGTATTCGTCTCCGAAAATACGACGGCACATGAAGACTCCATCGGGGGATATTTCCATTTTTTTTGGGTCTGTGTGTGATTTCCTAGTTGTATCACGTAGATGTGTACACAGTATTTGGAACTTCGGGAGAGGTGCACCATCGAGGAAGTGTATCATTATCAAATGTTCGACTTATTTTCCAGAACTATATCGTATATGAGGTGCCGTTAATACCGCGTAATCATGCGATCATTCCGTGAAGCGGAACATGTGAGATGCGGATCGTGTCAAAAAAGGGTTTTTGGTACACTTTAGTGCTATTAGAATCCAGAACTCCAAAGATGTTTTTAGTAGTCGTCTGCCTCTTGTCGGGCATCCTTTCAGTAGGAAGTAAAGAAACGAATGGTAAGTTCTGCCGAATCCGCTGTTTTACTGTTCTGCAATGTGACACACTTTATGTAGGACACATGTACCCAGAATTCAACCAAGCTACCGTCTTCAGACCGAAATTGACTTGTTTAAGAACAAAACGATCCATCGGAGAAACCCGTTTTCGAGGAGGTCACATTGATTCCTTGGGCGTTGAGATACCGGTGGCCGGTCGCAATTTCAGTTTGGACTTGAGGCTTAACAGGTATGTCCTTTTTCGGTCATTGTGAAGGAGATTTCCCCAGACGGATAGCAAGAGACTATAAAAACTCGTGATCAAATGTTTCAACTGGATGGAACTAGTCACTCGAAAATGTTCTTCCCTCTTCTCCGATATTTTGTTTCAGAATCTGGTTGGAGACTCTTTTTTGTACTGTATTAGGAAGGCTGTACCTGTTGTGAATATGCCTTTGCAAATTTTGAGTTTCGTAAGTATTCTTTTCAATAAGAATACTGTATTCGTGATGCGAATAAGCTTATTTCAATTATTATAACCAAAAGCCATGGATTATAACTGAGAAAAGGTTTTCGAGAGAGGCGAACATTTGATCCAGTGAACAATTGATCGTGTGGCCTTTTACCCTTGTTGTATTTAGTGTAAGTACTTCTTTTCTCTTGTCTCTCCTTCTCATCGTCCCTTCCGTTAAGGGTGGAAAGAGAAGAGGAAAATTGAGAAACCTTCGATATTTTCAGTGAATTGATTGGAAATCGTTACAAAGAACTCTATCAAGTAAAAGGGAAGACAGTTGAGCGGAAATGGGATATTCGTACAGATCATTGCCACTATCAAGGGCATATCCGTGGCGTACCAGGCTCGTGGGCCGCGATCAGCACTTGTAATGGATTGAGGTGAGCATCTGTCTTGATTGCTTTCGAAATGCGGTTCAACCCACTTGACATTTTGAGGTGTGCCACCATACGCCTTCGTTGACACCTAGCATTGTTCGATTTAGGTGTAATTAAAAAATTACGCAAGCTCTTCGAATGATTAATTGGGCGGTGGGTATTCCAACTTTATTTCTTTTCCGCTCACAGTATGGGCACAGAACTCAGTTTTTTTCCTGAAAATTGTGTTGCGCCCGATCATTCAAAATTTGGCGTTCCCATTTTATAGTGGGGTGATTTCCGATGGCAAAGACGTTCACTACGTCGAAAAAGTGCAAAATAGTACTAGTAATGCGTCGGATGGTGAACACGTTTTGTTGTCCCACTCGGATATCAAGCCAACGGACTTCAAGTGTGGTAAGTGGGTTTCTGCTTACAGGTTTTTGCCGCTGACCCGATGATGCTTAATGCTGTCCTACGAATTTATCTGCCACAGGTTATGAAGACACTCCGTCCGAGTTTTCGGGTCACCGCCCTAGGAGACACCCAGTGCCCTCCATCATGGAGCACAATGTACACGCCAGGGTGAGTCCTCAGTTATTTTTATTTTATATTTTCAATTTCATTCCACCTTTTTGCGAGTTCCGAGACAGAAACGCTTGTCTTGCATTTTATCATCTGCCAGACAACGCCTTTTAGTCTGTACAATATTCCGCTCCAAAAATTGAGGGATCCACTTATCCACTACCATGAACCAGTACAATGGGAAAGGGTGAGACGGGAAAGAAATTATCGTGTACAGGACACGAAACAGGGATGTGAGGAGCACTGTGGTGATGCATTCCTGGCGGGAAAGTGTACTGCGTAGGGGTTTGGTTCACTGGAACGAAACGGTCCACCAACTCAAAAATGTGTGTAAATCGCAGTGCACTTTGATACAAAATAGGTTATTGTTCTTCGTTGCAAGAACCGTGGAGAAATGGCCGTATAGAGGCTAACTGTTTGTTCTGATTGCGTATTCGACGCCAACGACGTGCTTCGTTCCAGATTCCAATATTCAAAGGGAACGAGTGATAATAATTAATTCTTTGCTTTTAATTTATAGAAGGTATTTTTGGGCAGTGTAGTTTTCAGAGCAGAACTCCTTGTGTAATTGATTAACGAAATTTGTATGTCCAGAAAACTTCATTTTTTTCAAGAATGAATTCACGAGGTGACTTTATAATGTCTAATAATTGGAACATTTAAGGAGCGAGAATTTTAAGGGCCCTGTTTGAAAGGGATATTTTATTCAAATTCAACGTCGTTTTTTTTTATCAAACTTTTTAAAATTTATCACGTGAATGAACGCTTCAGGGAAGTTAGACATAACATCTGTAGTTAATTTTCTTCTGTTGGAAAAGTGGACGAAATTCAAATAAAGTCGTACATTTACCCTATTTGCTTACGAGAATAATGTGAACCAGATCCCGAATGACAGGTTTGAGTTGAGAAACCAAACTAATATGGAAGACATGAAAACACAGGGCCCCCGATGACCCACATCCATGAGTACCGGTATGTCGCAAAGCAACCCGATGCAGTCCGAGAGGAAAAAAAAAGCTGCTTTTACGTTGCAAAATCCGTTATTAGAAGGGGAATAACGTAGGAGGGTCCCAACTGTGGGAATTGACCCGTTTCCTTGCGTTGGAGCCCGTAGGGCAAGAGGGAATCGTTAATTAACCTTGCTTCTGAATCGGTGGAGAATCCCTCCTCGGGTCGCATCGGATCCGTTGTGCCTCTGTTGACGAAATGCCGGCCGTGGTCAGGATTCCGTGTCGTGAACTGGTTTTGCTTCCATGTCAAGAAAGTGCGTCGATGGGATTCCATCGTTGACGAGCCAGGTTGCATGCATTAATTTTCATTTTTTTATTTCTTGTCTCTCGGTAGAAATTTTATCCAAGCTGGTGTAGGAACAGTTTCATTGTCGCGATCGGTGGACGGTGACTGATTGTCACCCTTATGCGCCGCGAAGGATGTAGTTTTTCAAACTTCACGCGGGTAATATATTCCGCTCATTGCTTTGCTTCGGAAATTAGGTTACGATGACCGGGTTTGGCGTCGAGTTCCCAAGGAAAAGATTCCTTCGATTTTTCATGAAATTCGTTGGCGACATTCGTTTTCCCGCGATGCTATGTCACTCGAAGTTTCTCCCAACAGGTGCACAGATGAGCAAAATAGCAAGCTTCATCATTGTTGGGTAAACCTCTTTAGATTAGGCCGCGCTAGATAAAGGGTGCATGAGAAAACAATGGAACGATCTTATTGATGGCGACTGAATACTGTACAGTACAGCTTTCGGAGTCTCAAGCACTCACGATAAACGTTTTCTTTCCGAGTTTTCAATGTTTAAATTGATTTTCTCAAACAGATAAATCATGACGTTTCTGAAGTACTGTATTTAGGTTATCTTGGAAAGCTCTGTCGCTGAATTCTGCCATTGCCAGACTTGTTCTCCTATTCGCCAATCGACCAAAAAAAAAGAAGGTTCAGAAAAATCCTGAAAGAGATTTTCCGACAGTTCCAGAGTTATTGAAGCAAAATGTAACTTGGACAACATATGGGAATGCGTCGAAGTTTTTCCTCCGAATCCATTTTATTACTTTGCGCGTGCTATTCATGGAAATTTGCCCCGATTTAAAGAAAATAGACTTCAAATTTCCAAAACGCAATAATTCGAGTCGATCAGGGAACAATTGCACGAATATTAGTGGATCAGCTTGTTTTTTTGTTCCACTGCGTATACGATCATAATTCTTGTTCAGCGTTGTTATCTGTGACTGTCGAAAGATGCCTTGAGGTACTGTATCTTTCCACAATTTTTACTACGCCGGTGATGAAGTCTTTGAATAGGGCAATATGTAGCTGTTGCAATATATTGTCGGGGAGAATTAAATCTGAAATTGAGAAAGATACCGTCGTTGTATGTTGACTTTTTTTGCTTTTCTTGTTCGACGCGTTGCGAAGTTCAGTACAGTCGTTTCGTTTCCGCTCCATTACTTCCTTACGTTTTCGTGCTTGTGCCGCAGTGCCTCACGTTTTCCGAAAGAATTTTGATTCACAATCAACGAAAGCTTTTTCCTGAGAGCTGTTCGGTGTGACTCGGCGTCATGATTCAGAATTAACGATCGAATGTAAGTTGCATTTTTTCGTGGAATTACTCTGAATGTAGACTTTAACAATACAGTACTGTACTTTTATGTCTGGGGAACCGGGGATTTTTACCCTATTTTTGACGCGCGCTTTTTTTTCGTTTGCCCTAGAATTTCGCGGGCCGAATTTTTCAGACAGCTTATGGCGCAGGGAATGGAAATGTTGGAAAATGATGGTCGAGGCAATGATCGAGTGGGTTTCCAAGATCATTCCGCATTGCAGTGTGCATCGAACTGGGGGGGGAATCGCTTCACGGATAAATCGACGTACTGTACTTTTTTTTCCACGGAAAGCCGCGCCCTCGGGGGCTGCCTACTTACGATTATTGCTACGGAAAGTTTTTGTTTGGTTCCCAGAGTGATTTTTTTTGTGTGTCACTGTTTCCGCTTGGGAAAATGACATGGAATCACCTGCCTTCGGTATACACGTGCTTATTGATTCGAATAACCTCAGGTGGAAATGAATGTAGGTGAAATTGAATGGGATTTCTTGAGAATTTGACCATGAAAAAGAATCACGTCCGACTTGCTAAATTTTTCAAGAACATGATTGTCGTGGATTTTTATCCAAATTCACCTCTGTGCGCGTATGTATAGGAAATTTAGTAACTCCGTTTTCATCCTTCTAAACTGAAGTCTGTGAAAACTTGAAAAATACCTCTAATTTTCTTTGTAAGTTGCCTGAACTTTGTCCCCCTTTCGAATTATGCAGTAAGGGTATTTTTTTATTCTGGTGCTCTCGTTAAGGGGCCTCTTTTTGAAGCCGTCTAGAAATCAATTTCTTTCCTAACCAATTTTTCCCGAGAAGTTCGCTCAAAAAGTTTTTATTTTTGAGCACGTTTTGATTTTTTTTCCTTTGAAATTTTTTGATTCGTTCCTGATTTCCTGAAGATGTTACGACTTCAGCTTGTTGTCTGAATTTGAAATTCCGACCGAAGCGTTGATCCTGGTGGCATATACCAAATGGATCCTTGCTGTTTGTGTGATTTCATTGTCCTGATCGATGTTTGCTTTGCCAGGGGTGCTCATTAGCCCAGATATATATTTTTTGGAGCCTGGAGGTGGGAATGCCTGACACGTGTTATTTATCTTTAAAATTTGACTTCATTCCTATTTGTTCCTCTCAAGCGCTAGGAAATGTAGGAAATGTCATAGTTTTTCTAGAATCCGTTTTTTAGCCGAGCTGCGCAATTCTTTTGTGTCATCCGTTCCTGATTGTTGGATGAAACTTTAACGCGGGGGTGTTTAAAATGTTGCCGTTGGAAAATAACTGTTCACACTATCCCGAAATGAATAATTCTTGAAAACTCCCAAGAACTTTGCAAATACAGTAAACGTAAATGTAGGCGAAGGTTTTAACCCGGAAACAGCGCTGAATTCATTCACAATACACGGTGTAAGTCTTATTCGGAACGTGCATTGCAAAAGTCTTCCGTGACCTTCTTAGCGAACAAATTGTTTCCGCTTTACTCGGGTCACGTAATGAGGGCCTTTTTAGCTTTGTTTCTTCGTCCCTGGTTATGGGTCATGGCAAGATATTTAAGATGTCCCGAGGTTCAAGTATCTATGAGGTACAGTATTTCTTTATTCGTAAATACGGATTGGATTCAAATAAAATGAACCATTTGTCAAGCTATAATACAGTATCCGCTGAAGTGTTTGAACTGTCACGTTTTTATTGATGTCGAAAGATGAACTGAATTCCGACGACACTGATATAATTTTTTTTTCAACGTGCAGTACTTCTGAGAAAGTTGCACAGGCTATTTTGTTCCAGGGCAGCCTTGAAATACTGTATCCCTTTAACCGACGGAAAAGTGTAATCTTCTTGACTGCTTGCGCGAGGCATTTATTGACGAACGAACATGGTACACTTCTTTTACGATGCTCCAGGACAACCTAATTTATATTTTGTAGTCATTTCTCGAATGTGCATCCTGTTTACACCACTGGATCAAGAATCGTGTAATTTTATGCGATCATAAATGTAATTCAATGATCTGACTTCTGTTTTCCTCCGTATGATATCCCAATCTTGACTATCCAATCGAAACCACGGCTCGAGAATGAGTCCACTCCGGAGGAAGTACTGTACAGTATTAACATTTGCTGTCGTATTCCATCTTCTTAAACGCAAGTCTACTGAGAATTCTCGTAAAATACTCGTGGAATTTTTCAAATTCGTGGAACGTCATTCGTGTGACCGCAAAACGAGGGGAATTGATGAGCCATGTCCGCGTGGGAGGTCACCAGAGGTCTCGCCCATGAAGACCAGCTTTTAATAAAATAATATTCCACGCTTTGACAAGCCCTGGCGTCTGTTTATTTTGGATCATAGTTCTCGTGCCGCGTGTTTGTGGTGGTGAATGATTTGCATGTAAAAATACGCGTTGCGACCCAGTGACTTGGGGATTGTTACGCTTCGGGATGAATAGCATTTGAGGCCGATGATGATGATCAATCTGTTGTATGTACGACCGTTAACTTGGGGCGATAATGAAGGTGCTTTTCTCCGGAGTGTGGGAACTGAATTGTATGCGATGGGATAAGTGCGTTGTGGGGCTTTTTGTCACACACAGAAAAGAAAAAGAAGCGGAAGAAATCGCCGCACGAGGCTGAAAATGGAAAGTCGCGGATCTTCTTCGTGGTGATCTTCAGATGGCCTAGTTATCGTCGAAATGAAGGAAAATACAGTGCAGTAAAATGCAAGATACACCGGGTGTGAATTTTTAAAATCGAGGAATTTGTTGCGATAAAATTTTACTAAAATGGCCTAACTATTCCGCGAACAAGCTTATTTTGCTGACAGTAAAAGCTGTTAGCCGTAAAACCTTATTTCATAGCATACCCCTAATTGAATTTCACCTTCGCTTAGTGCCACAAAATGTTCTATGCCAAATGATGACACTAAATCGAGGGTTGACGGTATTTGCGCTTGAGAAATATCCCATGAACGTTGAAGTCTCGCCAATTCATTAGCTTAATATTGTTTTGTTCTAGAACTGATTCTCTTCTTGAATTTTTGCTTTTTCTCACCAGGTGCGATTTCGTCAGTTGATCACTTTTGTTTTCGTCAATTGATATCTCGTCTACAAAATGTCAGCTTTTCAGCTGCATACGAGAAGTTGGCGAACAGTGGCTAAGACTAAAATAATACTTCTGGGATCTCAGAGCTCTTTTCAAATCCTTCGGTTATTCTAGAATTGGTTTATTGGAGCTTTGCTTTTCATATAAAAGAACGCTTTGAGTAGCTGAACGCAGTATTTCGTAAAATTACCTGTAAAAACCCTTCTCCTATTCATTTCAAAGGAATTTTTTGAATTGCTTTTGAGACTGCTTTTGTCGCATTTCTTCTGATGAGGTTACAACTGTACCTAACTACCATTAATTTTTATTTGAATAAAACCTGCTTTTAAAATTCCTGGTGACGCGTATGACAATGTTTTCCATAGAAAAAAGTTTTAAAACTTCCATGATATAAATACCTGGAAGTGGTCATTAGTTCTTCGTGACTGGTGAAAGGAAACAATGAATTCTATCCACAGGAGATGAATCTTCTATCCGGCTTTTATCATTAATGTGTTCCCGTGAGAATTCCGGCCTTCAGAACGAATCAAATTACTAGTACTGTAATGTCTTGTATTCGCCTCGTCTTTGTTTCTACTAAATGGTTTAAAGATTGCTTCATTATCATCACTAATGGTTG